TGTTTTGGTTCTATCAGAGTGAGTGCTGTTTTTATTCTTAGTGCAGTGATTCTTTTTTTTCAAGTAGTACTTTGTTTCATCGTGTAGCTTTTTTTTTTCTATTCAAATACATTTAATATTGTGCAGTTTCTCAATACCTCTGCAGACGAGGTACAGGTTATTTCAAGGAGAAAGCTCACATTTTGGTGCCGTGACCCGGGAAGTCACCGTCTGCAAATTTTCTTACTCAATTCCTTAATGTTTCTGCATGTCTTCGGACGACGAACAACCTCCTAAGCAACTTCTTCAACCACTCTCACACTTTCAACCGCCGGAATCCGACTTAACGTCTTCGTCCATGGCGAACCAAGAATCGTCAACGACTAAAAAAACCATATCAAATAACTTTCGCCACCCGAGATGATGAAATACGATATACTCAAAAACTTATGGAAAATTGTGCAACGTTTAATGGTGATCCTGCACAATTAACTACTTGGTTAAGAGAAACCGGTGCATTCATTGCTAAAGAAGGCTATCCCGAAACTGATCATCCATTTATCATTCGTCATCTGTTAATTGACGACGCACTCGATTATTATCTGGCTCATGAAGATATTATCTTCAACTTCTATGATCTTCGTAAATTATTTTTGCATAAACAAAATGCATTGGCCCCTTTACGCACTCTGCAGTCGCTTGATTCCATAGCGACACTTACTCTAAATTCTACACCATCTATTCTTACGTCTACTCAACTTCCTGCTCCTACAACTACTACCGCTGATAATCCATGTGCTACGACATTTACGTTTGCACAAACTTTGGAAGATTTAACACAAAATGATATTAGAAAAACCATTATTGAAGATTTACAACACAACTCTACAAAATTTACAGGCGATCATCGACAAGACGTAATCAAATGATTAAAAAATATTGAAATTAAATTTGAAACAGCAGGAATTCCAGTCCTGAAGAGATTCGATATGATTTCTCAACTGTTGGATAAAGGCGCACTTGATTGGTTTCAAGATAATAAAGCGAAATTTAATAACTCATGGTCTGAATTTGTCATCCACTTTAAAAAAACATTCGATTCTCCAAATCGTGCTCGTATAGCAATGCAAAAGCTTAATTCTTACGCTCAATCACCACAACAAGATGTTCGAAGTTTTTGTAGTGAGATGCGAAAATTATTTCAAGAAGGTGATCCACAAATGAGTTCATCGAGGAAATTAGAATTATTGTTGGCCAAAGTAAATCCTAGCTATCGTCTTGATCTATTGAAACAAAAGCCGAAGGATCCTGAAGAATTCGAGATAATGGCTAAGGATCTTGAAAATACCTATCTAGCATTTGAAGCCATGGAACAGAATACACAATCGATCACACTATTTCCTTCTGAACTTTCTTCTTTTTCGTTTGACACTCCTCATTACTTATCGTCGAATCGCCATCAATCCACACCGTATAACAATCATAACGATAACAACTATCGAAACGTCAACACATCACGTTATAATTTACGTTTTCCCACCAACACTAATTATTCACCTCGATATTCGTCATCGAATTCATCTTACAGGCACAATCAACCATCTTCGCGACAATCTTTTGATAATCGGCAAACTGGAGCCTATTATAATTCTCAACGTAATCCACAACAACATCTCTTCGCTTACCAACCTCCTTCTCCACTACAATAACCACCGTCATCACACAATATTCCTCCGCTTATGTCTTCTTCTCCTTCCGTTTCTACCAACCAGCACCAACAAGCACAATCATCTCAACCAACTCCTACCCTTATCTGTCAATGGTGTTCTAAGTTAGGACACTCAGCTCGCGACTGTCCTTTTTAAAGTGGAAGTCAGTGTCGGGTGGTACTGTCTCCAATGCATCATCTCTTAAACCATCCAGACCTTTTCTTCTGTATACCACACTAACAATTAATAATACACCACTTAATACTCTCATTGATACCGGAGCTTCTGCCACATGTATTAGTAACAAAGCCCTTCAACGTACGTCTGACTTCCGTTACGTTGATGAAACATCACGTTCATTTGTACTCGCCGATGGTGTCATGCCTCTACAAGTTAAAGGTTCAGTGGAACTTTCTATGAAATTTGGTCAAGAACTGATTACCTTTTATGCTCTCGTCGTTGAAACTCTTTGCGTTGACCTTATTCTGGGCATGGACTTCATGCTCATCTATAATGCCAACATCGATGTTAAGCTTCAACATTTTTCATTGGAAATTGATGGCCGTTGTACAACAATTCATATTGACGATCACCTTCGCCGTCCGCTTGTGCCACTTCATGCACATGATGCTACTTTGATTCCTCCACATTCAACAGTATCGATCTTGGTTTCTTCACCACTTTCGTCATTAACTGCATACTTTATTCCAACTTCTACTTTCCTTGAGAATCCTCATCTCTCGTCTTCTCAGAAAATTGTTACTATTCAACATCATCATTCAACTCCTTCTGTTATCAACACGTCTGATTTTCCTCAACACATACCACGATATTTCTGTTTTCGATATTTGCTTAGTGATCAAGCTGAACAACAGAGCTATTTCGATCGAATTTCTGCTCTCTGTCGTCGTTATAACGAGAAGAAAAATCGTCAAGTTTTGTCTGACACCTTTACTCACCCTCAATTACCTCAGCGCCTTTTTAATAGTCCAAAAAAACTCTATCAACCGTCACCCTCGAAATTTACTGCAGTTCTTAATTCTATTCCGCCTTCTCCTTCATTGCATTTACAAGAAACTCTAGATATATTGGTAAAACATCTACTTGATGATCAACAACGAAATCAACTTTCTTCACTTCTTCATCAATTCTCTCCCCTTTTCGACAATTCACGCCACAATATTTCCAACATAGTTATAGAAAACGTCTTCAATACTACTCCACATTCACCACCTGCTTTCCGACC